CAGGACAAACCATTTATTATTTTGTTTGGATTTTGTTGTTTGACAGCTGCCCTATTCAAACCCCCAAACCACCAGTGGTGAGCAGAATAAAGGCAATGCTTGATAAAATATGTAGTATTGCTGTTATGATCAACAGTTTAGGAACTCATGATTGTAATTCTCTTAAAACATTTTCAATGAATCACATATTTAAAAATGTTATGAATTGACAAAATAATGATTTTGATATTTCTCCATTGCACAGTATTTTAGTTAGACACAACAATGAAAGCAAATTCCTGAAGTAATTTTTCACAAAAGTATTTTCTTATAGCGTACCTCAGGAATGTGTTTTAGTCACATTACACTTTACAAATGTTTTTTATCATGGTCGCACAGGGGCACCATGTCATGTCTCTAGTTTTTGCTGTTCCACCGATCAAGTGTTGGAGGCAATAACATGCCATCAACTCTATTGTTAAAAAAAAAAACGTTTACTACATTGTATATGCACGTCATTACAGAGGATTCTATTCAACATGTTGGATCTTAATGATTCACACATTGTGAATGGATAAACACTGAATGTAAAACATGTTTTTTGTTGACAAGAAAACCTCATAAGGAGGCTGATCTCATGTAAGCGATTGGACATTTATTTCTGCGTAATGGAACTGAAACGGAAGTTATGGTGGCTTCTTGCATGGGAACAGCAATGGTTTATAGTAAGCGTGAACCAATGGTCAACATTAGGTAAAGCATCTATATATTAAGCTGCCCAGTTGGTGAAGTGAGTTATCAACAAGGTTGGGGATTTGATTATTAAACTCCTGACAGCTTTTCATAGTCTCTTTGAGCAAGACACTGAACCCCAAACTTCTCCCGATGTTCAGGCTAGTGTCATTCATGACAGCTCCACCACCATCAGTGTGTGTGGGGTCACTTTACCAATTATTGTGTGACTGTGAGATATGACAGAGTGGTGAATGAACACGATGGAAAACAGAATGAATACAGTGCATGGAGATCCCAGGTACAAAACTCTGTTGCATTTTGGCCTTTATTTGACAGGACAGTGTGGATATGGGGAGGTGAGATAAAGAGACATGGGTATCAGGTTATCCCGCAAAAGGGCATTTAAAGGCAGCTAAAGTGGTGTTGAGGCTTGCCCTTTGCGTCCGACCATATTGCTCTAGCGACAACAGGGCTGTTTCTTTAAACCTTTTGACACACTTTTATAAATCATTTGATTTGATAATGGCATTTGTATTATTTATGATTCTGTGGCAGTCGTGACAAAACTGCAAGTTTGCTACAGTTGGCCATTGGAAGCAGAAACACTCCACAGTATCACTCATTAAACATATGGTAGAGGTTTGCATTTTGGGCAAGGGATGGACATTCTTATAAGACAGCCTTGGTTAAATCACTGATTGTGTAAAAAGCATCATTATTTAATGCTACGGCAGCTGGTCTGGAGTTATTGTGCGTGCCTGCTAAGCGGTGTGTTGTTTTTATTCTGATTTTTTTCACAGACTGCACTAAAGTGTCACTTTAAGCTTTTCCAATTGTAATAGAAGGTGTTGTGTTACATACAAGATAGTTCCCTTTCTCCTGTGTTTTGAAAACACTAAGTTATTTAGTTAAAGTGCTGGAATTGTATTTGAATTGATATCAGCCAGTGAAGTATATTAATTTGTTACATTGGAGGCATGGAGATATCATTTTTATTGTAACTTAATATCCTTCTTAGGAATTGCAGCTTTTTAATATGAAATGTAACTTTGGTTTATGATTAATATTACTCATTGGAAACACCTGTACACAATCATATTCTCTAACTGAACTGGGAATACTTAATACTACATTTAGAAAAGCAAAGTCCTATGTTTTAGCTAACCGTATATCTGTGGGTATAATCTCAAATGCTAAATATTAGTCTGACTTCTGCTTGTGTCAATTCATGTTGACGCTGGATTTATTTGAGTTTGGAGTTGCTGTTGTCTGAGACAAATTGAGAATCAGAAAAAAAAATAAACATCAGCCCACGACTTGTGTGGAACAGATTAGTGTCTCCCAAACAGAGGGAATCACCATATAATCACCACACGGATACTAATGGATATTCATCAAATACGTTTCGAATTTTTAAACGTCTTTCATTCTGCATATCAACAACTGATTATAGTCTGAAATATTGCAGAGACGTTCGTGGTCTTTGTAATGACTAACTGTCACAGGTCTATTAGCAGTTACATTTTCTCATAACACAAAAATAGATTATTTTTACTGCCTAAAACTAACCCCAGTTCACTCTTGGTCTGTAAATACCAGTGGGCCTCTGAAGCTGTGCCTGTGGAATGTAAACAAACAGCATGAAGAGCGAGGTCAACCTCCTAATGAGGGCCGCCGTGGAACTCGGAAGAATAAGTGGCTGACAGGAAGAAGCTCAAATGTGGATAAAGGCCAGAGGTGAAGATGCATAAAGAAGAAGTTGCCATGCTGGGATTAAGAAATCCTAAGAATTTCTTATAGTGGAAGTTCATTTCGACCAGGCCCTGTTGAGATATTTAGTTCAGAACAAGAATAAATCTCAATATGACATTTAGAGTTTGAAGTGGTGCCATCAGAGAAATATTAAGGAATAACATACTCCGATTCCACAGTAGTGACACTTGTGTTTTATTGTACAGAACCAGGGATTTGCTCCACATGTTGCCACCCTGTCTGCAATGCTGCTGCATTTTTCCTCAAGGTCTTAGTGGCAAGCTCTGTGGTTCTCTGACTGAAGATATGATCAAAAGTGGTGTCCCTTGTATCTCGGCATGCTGGGATCTCATGACCAGATCACATGAAAGTCAATCTGCACTTCATTCAAGGTCGGCTTTTACAGATACTAGCTGATCTGCATTCCAGTCCCATGTGTTTTCTTGTGTACACTACACTTTTGTGTAAGTTGTCACTGATAAGAATGTTTGATTTTGCCAAGTGCCGACCTGGTGAAATGGCATATTGTTTCATAAACAAACTTGCTTTATTGTATATTTTAGTACGACACTACCTGGCATGCTCTTAGGTGCATAGTTGAGCTTGTACTAGAGTTAAGCTTCTCCTGCAGTCGATTAACCTTTTCATACAGTTTCAACAGCTGTGAATGAAAGGCGAAACTGCTGTGCACTCGTCTTTTTGCCAAGGCTCGCACACTTCACCTTCAGTCATCCCCCACACACACACACACACACCTCTGAGTCCACATATACACGCTGTTCCTAGCAGAGACTGTGTACCCATCTCCAGCCTTGCAGTGCGAGTCGAGCAGTTATGGGTGGGAGGGGCGACATAGCCGAGGATCAGCTAACCTTCCTCACGCTCTGCACGTAGCACAACCATTAAAATACTGCTTCCTCTGGAGGGAGGCCAGGAGTCAAAGTTTACAGCAGTTCACTCCTCTCTTTCTCTCTTCTGCTCCAGCCCCACCCCTCTGCTTTCTCCGTCTGTGCACCTCTTTCTCTCTCCCTCTCTTTTACACACACACAGACACACGCACACTCAAGAAAAGCTTACTCCGTACTTGCGTCTTACCGACAGGAAGCCCTTTGTCAGTTTGACACCCCACCCCCTTCATCCTTCTGTTGGAGTTGTGTTGCTTTGAAGGCCCTGATATCGTGCGCTGCAGTGTTAACCTGCATCATTCAAAAGACGTGAGCACAATGTGGACTGACGCAAGCAACTGGTCAGATGAGCAGGAGAATAACAATCAGACGTATGTGTGATGGGGATCCTTTTTTTTCACTAACTGAACTTGAAAATAATGTCCACGTTCAGATTTTGCAATACGGTTATTTTATAGGACAGTAAAATGTACCTTTCCAGAAGTATGAAGTCCAACAGATTTAGATTAATTATTCAGCGATTTTGTTCAAAACTGCAATCCAATGATTTTGAAATGTAGCGCATCATATCGTTCGTCTGCAGACAAGATAGCTGCTCAAGATACAAACACACAAAGCAGGACATTATTTCACTTGGCACGAGACCAAGTCAAATAAAGTTTAGTCTGCTGTGAGTGTTTATAATAATGTTGCTATGCTATCGTTTATGTTGATCCAAGTGCAAGGAAAAATGTGGAGGAACTTGCCTTTTGTTTGTCATATCACTGCTTAGAAGCTGCGCATGAGGGCTAAACCTGCCCTCTGCGTTTGTGCACGTTCGCCGCTCACCTCGGATCCCCTTTCAAGTTAGAAAACCCACACACAGTTGCATGGTGTCACACAAGTGTTGCTTGTAATTTCCAGTGCCTATAGTCTGAAATGTTATATATACAATGTGCAGTTTTATTATTCGGCCAGTGCAAGAATCAGATGGATCGTTTTTCTTTTCAAAATGTACTGTTCCATAAAAGTCTAATTTCAAAGAAAAGTCAGGGATTTCTGTGTCACAGTCCCTCCAGGCAGTGTGCGAGTCACCACTCGTGTGTGTGTCTTATTTGCTGAGGGACCTTCTACGCTGTTTACGACAAGAAGTTTACAAGAGCTCATAGGGGTTCGCTGCCAACACCCAGGCAGATCGTGCAAGTCTTAATAGAGCAGGAAAAGGCAAGGGGAAGTTGACGTGCTGCCTGATATCTCCGGTTTATTTTCTCAATAGTTTAAAGTTTATAATGGGGCAGCTGGGTTGTAAGCGACCACCGTTTGTATCAGTCTTGGTGCAGGTGAATAGAGGACAATGCCATCTGGCTGTGCCAAGACTCTCTGCTGCATCCACGTCACAGGCCCACAAAGAGCAATCTGAGCTGCTTCCACTGCTCCGGGTCTGACTGCCTAGTGCTACACTGGCAGCAGCATTAGACATAACACACACGATTTTAATGCAATCTTCAATGTTCCTTCTTGATGTTCATGCAGTACTTCCTGTTTCATGACAACACGTATGATGTAATGATCTAGAAGTTGAATGCATTGTGCTTTCTGTGCATCTGTTTTTTTTTACTAATCATGCTTTTTTTTCCTTCTTGACTTCAGGCAATGGTGGCATGTTACCCTGGAAACGGCACAGGATACGTGCGCCATGTGGATAACCCCAACGGCGACGGACGCTGTGTCACATGCATATATTACCTTAACAAAGATTGGACTGCCAAGGTATGTGAGTGTGAGGAGGAAATTATGGTAATTATAACTAGATGGTGATGTGATTAGATTAGCTTGTTTCTCATTTGCTGTGTTTGAAAAATGTATTCAATTACGATTTGAAATGATCAGTGAAAAAAAAATCTAATGAAAGGCAAACAGGCCATGTGTATCCTGTTCACTTTCCATTTGGTCTTCCTGTCATAAGCTTATGACAAGTCAGCGTAGTTCTTGTCTACATGGCATTGTGGTCTTCCTCCATCCTGTTTTGTATTCACACCAAGCTGAGTCAGCAGTAGAGGTTACGTGTCAGAACATGATCATTTTCCCTGTTTGATCATCTCATTAATATGCTGAAATATGCGCGCAGCTGCTAGGGGGTGCCAGCCAGGTACCAAAAACTTTTTTTTGTTAAATTAAAATAATAGGTGGCGACCCTTTTTCATTTTTGTATTGATTTTTATGTGGATTTGTAGTATTTATGTTACTGTATGTTCAATAAAGGTGTATTTTGCTAAATCTTGAGACATTGCCACTATGTACTAGGCCTCAAGAGCCTTTCTTGTGCTGGCAGACACATAGAAACATATTGGCGGGGTGCACTTCGCACGTGCACACATTCAAAAATTCCACGCGCTGCACGCTCACATTTTGCTGGGTGCCTTAGCACCGCTGCTATGATTCCATCCTAGGGGAAACACTGTGCAGAGATACATCGACACCCAATGCTAGTGCCTCCATGCTACCTTCCATACATCAACTATTCCTCCGGCAGGAAACGTAGGGAGCTTAAAGCGAGAACTACTTCCTAGAACTTCTTCATAGTTAAATTACTCAATATCACATACAGATTGGTTGCAAATCCAGCCTTACCCAAGGATGCTACACTTGGAAAAAAAGGGTATTTTCAGAGGTCCAACCGAACCATAGCACTTAAGAAATAGGCATAGGGCTGCTCGATTATGGCAAAAATCATAATCACGATTATTTTGGTCAATATTGATATCACGATTATTAAATACGATTATTCATTGACTTTGAAAACATGCTAAGGTCTGTGTCTTTTTGGGCCGTTTTCAGTTTCAACTTTTCTTTGGTTGAATGTGATGGTGTCCCCGCTGTCAAGTAGAAGAAGGGTCAAGTCAGGGTCCAAGTTCTTATCTGTTTGGGTCCAGCATACATTTTTGGACCCATGATAACCTCTACCTGATGGCACTACCATGTCATACAGCAACCAGCACATTGAACGTACTAAAGCAAAACGCTAAGGAACTCTGATCCAGCGGGTGCATCGGGACAAAAGGGCTGGAGAAAATGAGTGATCATTTCTTGTGGCCATGTCAACCACCAGGCTGCTGAATGGGATGGGAGTCAGAGAACCTCCATTAGGCCATCAAGTCACTTGACGGATGCTGCCAGGCAAAAAGTGACGCAATTACCTGCCTACACCTAGGGCTGCTCGATTATGACAAAAATCATAATCACGATTACTTTAGCCAATATTGATATCACGATTATTCATTGACTTTGAAAACATCCATTTATTGAACGTTAAAAAAAAATCAAAATAATAATTTGAACAGTATGTTTTTAACAGTTGAATACCCTGAACTTTAAGTATAATTCAACTGAAAAACCGATAAAACTAAATAATTATACATTTAAATCCCCATTTAAATAAATAATATCAAAATAATAAATACAAATAAAGAAGATCGACAAATATTTTGGAGCGCACTTCCACAAACTACTAAACATATATAAATATGATGACTAATGTCACTCACTGCTACACGCAGTACTCTTATTTTGGTAACCCCTTATCCGGAAACAGGAAGTAGTTAAGAGGCTCCAGCTTGACGAGGTTAGTGAAAGTTGACTGAACGCTAGAGACCGGAGAATAAAGACAAGGCAACTAAAGCTTCCCTTGTAACGTGTTTATATTAGGGATGTGCATCTCCATCACTGAGGCGATGCGATGCGCATCTCGATACGTTGCCAACGATACGATACATTAACGATACATTTGAAACACCAGGCGATACGATACGATTCACCCCTGTTGCGATACAGTTCGATACGATTTGATTCAACATTATGCGATTCGGGGCGATACGATGCGATGCAAAATAATGATACTTCAATATGGTACGACAGAGGATTTTTGTTTTATTCCTTATATGCAGCAAATCATACATTAACAAAAAAGTGCTTTACATATTTGGTTCTCTCTACTAGTACTGCACATCCCATTATGCTGTTTTTTTATACCTTTTTTACCTTAAAAAACTCTCCAGAGTAGGCTACAGTACAAATGTATAACCTCACAGTTAAACAATGTAAGGATGCATTGCCCATGATTAACAATGTGCAAATAACAGCTACCATAGTGCAATGCCCATACAGCTGCCAGCCTGATGTGCTGAACACTCATTCAGAGGCTAACTCACCAGTGAGCAGAAAGCAGTGGGTTCTATACGAACAATAAAGAATACAAATAACCTTTCACAAACAGATATTTCATAACTGCTTACAGTAAGGAAGACATTTAAACTATTATTGGCCGTCACAGTCTGCTGTAAACTAAACACCACTCTCTCTGACAGAACACCTCACTGAGTGATTTAACTCATACGTCTAACTTTCAGGTTTCTCTTTTCAGCCGCAGACCCCATGTCGCCTCTTTATGTGCGTCGCTAAGTTCCTCGTACTACTTGTGTACTTTAAAGCGCCACGGCATCGTTTACAATTTGCGAGCGATTTGTCAAGTTGACCGTCTTTCTTGAAAAATCCGAAGTGTTGCCAAACGTTTGATTTGTAGGTCTTTTTCGGTGCGCTGTGTTTCTCTTTCTCCTCGACTTCTGTGTGTGTTGATAACTGAGACTCTCGGCCTCCGTAGTGCGAAGCAAAGATCAAAGATCGTCTCTGCGGAGTGCTGACAGGATGAGGGGATTTTATATGAATGAATCGTTTTTTTACCGATGCAAAGACGCTACAATCGATGCATCGCGAGTTCAACCCAAACTGTAGCCGATGTGCACTCTTTCAACCGGTGCACTCGCATCTTCAACGTTTATACCGGTGCACCGATGCGAATCGGTGAAACTTAACATCCCTAGTTTATATGGATTTATTCAACAGAAGTCACAACACAACCTGGCCGAGAGGGCTTTTAGGGAGGGGCGAAAGCGCACGCGCGGGCAGGATGTATAACGCAAGACAAATTGAGAGCAGCATTGCGAAAGGGAATGCAGCAAAATAATCGTTTTATTTTACCTCTATGCTTTCTGACCAAATTAGCATTTAAAACTATTCTGCTACTTTTTTGCACTTTGTTTTGGTCAAGAATCATTCATATAATGGTCAAATATATATTTAATTTGAAAAAGATTCTCAATGTGATTACCTAACCTAGCGCACTTAATGTGAAAGGATGAACTTAAGAGCACAAGCTTACTAAACAAAATGTTCACCAATTAGTTTTTAGCCTCAGACCCCCGCTGGGCTCCACATGTCTATCACGACATGCATGAAGGAAATATAGGGTACCTTATAATGTGCTTCAGGTGTCTAACGTACATGTTGTAATTATATTGGTTAAGTAAGTCACCTTGTGAATACGGGCGGACTAACAGGATGCTGCACACCAGGATGCTGCACACCAGGAAGCAGCGACATTCTTTCTAAGGGAATGCAGCAACTGCAAGGTGGGAGGATGGCTTTCATGCTTCTGTGAGGAGCCAGCCTCATGACAAGACACATAACTAGACAAGAGATTGTATTCCAGACTTCCTCACATACTTGACTTCCAGGCCTGCATATGGAAATGACGTAGATACAGGAAACTCTGTTTTGCCTCCTGATGCTGGTTTGTGAGAGTGTGAGACCATGCAGTAGTCTGTCTTCTGTCTGAGTGCCACTAAACAGAGGATGAGCATTATTAGCTCTCATCAAACAATCAGTAAAGGCTAAGATGATGAGACAAAATAACATAAACCCCTAATTTAACGTTGACAGCATAATCACTCGGCTTGTTTGGCGTGTATAAGGTGTTTCATCTTGCTACGTAGACATGTATTGTTTTCAAAGTTACTGCTCCCTCATCTTTAAAATTGCCAACAGAATCAGATGTCATTGTCTTCAACCTTATATTTGACCCACCTTTGTTTGCCTTAACAGTTTTAAACCTCGTGACAACATTTGGCTTAGAAGGACTAATAATGACAGGTTTGGTTGTTATGACTTTATATCCTAACAATTTCTACTAACTTCTATCTGACCATTATTTCATAAACCGCAAAGAAGACAAACAAGAAGGTGGAAAAAGTGAACTATGGACTATCCATCTGAAGGGTATGCTCACTGTGTAGACCTGTGAAAAAGGCTGGCCTTATTATGATGAAAATGATCTGAACTTTGGATGTCAGATATAATGTCACGTCAGATAATACACAAAAACATTTGAGGTCATTTGGGTAACACAGCAACAAAAAAAAGACTATTTAAAACAATTTTTTTAAAGGGGTAAAAGTTCAACATAATAAGGATACTATTAATTATATTTGGATCACCAGCCAATACTGGGGCTTTTTGTTTCAAATACATCAAACAATCCTATTTGTATGCAAATATTCTACTGTTAATAAATTGTTCATCAGTTGGGTCTGAGGGCCTTTATGTTAATCAACTAAGCGGTTGCATGATTTCTATTGTTTTGTTCATGCACAGGCTTCAATCATTCCAACAAGCCATGTTTGGGGACCCCTATTAAAGGATTCCTATCCGCTCTCTGATTGGATGTTTCTTTGGCGTGTGATGAGCTGTAATTTGTAGAATGTGGTTGCCTGGATACTGGGGCTCTGTTGAAATGTTCAAGTTCAGTTGTTCCAGTTATTTACCCCCAATTTTCCACTTCTACACGTCTATTCAAAACCATTATGAAATGTGTTGGTGTCACGTCCGCTGTGAGTACACTAAATGTATATTTCAGCTCAGATGGCACAGTAGGTCCATATGGTTAGTTGTAAACAAATCTTTGAATGTTTCCTGTGCACCCATGTGACAAAGATAAAAGAAACAAGCCACTCTGAAGGAATATACAGGCATTAAAGTGAAAATTAATAATGAATCAGTCACTGGGAGTTTTTCGTACACATTTATTTGTACAAATTATCTTCGAATCATGCTTTATACTTCACCTCAATTAAGGAAATTCTGTTCATTTTTAACATTTATAATTATAAACCCTGATTAGAAAGTGACGGCTATTTCCTTAAACACTGCACTTAGATAACATATACAATTCTGTCAGTTGCAAAAGTACATGGGCAACATTTTTGCTGCATAATTTCAATCGATACAAAAAGTACTCTTGCTCAGGATTGTAGGAGGTGGGAGTTTTACCCAGCGTGCATTTGGTCAGCGGCAAGGTCAGGTCACCACTCTATTAGAGCTGACACGTACTGTGGAGACATGCAGACACTTTCACACCCTTTATGCCATGCATTAACAGCCATGGTTACAGTTCTTGGAGATCAGTTGTCATCACTCATGACATTTCCTCCAGAACTAACCAACATTATTCTCACACATGGCATTAATGACATTGTCATCAACTCCATTTTGGTCTTTTCACTAATAATGTACCCTCTCCTGTTCTGATGGTGGGTCTTAGGGCTTTGTAGAACTGTCCACTCGCAGTAAAGTTATAATTGTGCAGTAATCCACAAGAGGCCATGATTTAGAGTGACTCTGTTACATACATACTTTTCTAAATAAGATGTGTATATAATACAACAGCAAAACTCCACAAACAGCTACTTTGTTAGAAATATAACAGAACTGGTGCGTCAAACTGAAACTATTTCCCGTTGCCTTGCTGAGGAGCTGCAGCCGTTTGCGTTTCCTTGGAGTTTTTCACATCCAAAGCTGTCCTGTGTTTTGCTAGTTGAGTGCTTTTAGCTAGCAGCATTAGGAGATGTTGTGTTTGCAGAAACACGGTTCTAGGACAGTGAACAGTAAATGAGAAGACTAAAAACTATAACTCTGTATTTCTTACCTGCCTTGTGTAGGGAATTTAAGGCCAGTGGTGGAATTGTAATTATAGCTGGAGTGTGGGACTTGTACATATAAATGAACATCTGTTACATTCGATCCTCGTGGATTCATCTTCTTATTACAGACACATGCCTGTGGTGCAGTGGGTTGTGAGTTGGTATTCGGATCAGGAGGTCACAGGTTCAAACCCCACTGCAGTCAGCATGTCGTTGTGTCCCTGGGCAAGACACTTCACCCCAAATTGCTCCTGTGGGGATTGCCCACAGTATTGAGTATGTAAGTCGCTTTGGATAAAAGCGTCTAACAAGTGACATGTAATGTAATGTAACGTAACATGCATTTCCTAACATTCGGTCTATATGCTGTAAAATGTATCATCTCTTTGATTTACACACGGCATCTATTGCACGTCTGTCCGTCCTGGGAGAGGGATCCCTCCTCTGTTGCTCTCCCTGAGGTTTCTCCCATGTTCCCCTTAAACTGTGGGTTTTCTCCGGAAGTTTTTCCATGTACGATGTGACGGTCTAAGGATAGAGGGTGTCGTTTTTCTCATACTGATATTCTGAACAATCTGTGCTGTTGTATTTGCTGTAAAGTGTCTCTACTGTAGGCTATTTTTATTATATGTACAGCACTTTGGCTCGACCAAAAATCATTTATACATGTGCTATATAAATAAAACTTGATTTGATTTGATGCTCATTAAGCTTATGGCCACCAAGCTCTGTGTGTTTTGCTGTATATCAGAGTAGTGGTTTTTGTGGTGTCTTTGCTGCCCAACCGCACTTACCTCTGCAGTCCAGCTCACTGTAACTCCAGCGCCCTCAGGACCACTTTCTTCTCCTCACACATTTGTTTTGATTTAATCTTTCCACTGAATGCAGAGTTAATGTGGTTTTACCTGGAGCTTTATTTACTCTGTTTTCATGTCTTCTCCCATATGGTAATTACTCTCCCTGCCAGAGGAGGGAGACAAGTCTGCACTCCAGCTTTTACAATGTAAACTATGATATAGAGAGGTAATGAATAGATGTAAATACATTGCAGAAAGAAAACAGATGTCTTTTCAAAGGTTTAAGAAGAAATGTTTTCAGGTGTTTAGACGCTATTGGATTTTTATAACCATTTGTATTTTCTTTCACACAAAAAAAACCTCATAGGTCAGTATGTTTCCATTTTGGCTTGCAGCATAGTTGAACTGCTTGTACCCAACTTGAGTTTTAAACTGCATCACATCTTTATTGCAACAGGTTGTCATTAGTCCAATTCAGCCTGATGTGGGTCATGTCCTGCAGGCGGGGGTCAGCCTGTGTTCACTCGTCATTTACAGGCCGCCACGCCGCACGATACCACCAATTTGGATTTTGCGTGCAGACAAACAATTGATCAAATCAGTAGTGCTTGAGCTGCTTACGTGGCGCAGGGAAAAAAAACATTTGTCCTGTCTTCTTTGACCCTATTGTGCTTTTATTTCGTCTTGTCACACCACCGGCATTCCCCCTCATTCAAATGAGTATAAATGGGAATAGCATGACTTTTTTCAGACAGGGTGTGAACCTATTCGCTCTCCCTAGTTTGCGTGTGAAGAGAGGGGCCTATCATATCAGCTGTGTGAGAGTTTAAGCGGCACGCTTGCTGCAATCTGCTTTTTCACTCTCCAGGTCCTTTATCCAACTAGAGCAGTTTTCCTGTGGGTTATTCTTCCTATCCCTCCACAGGAAAGCCAGCCCCCCCACCCGCTGCTGCTGCTGCTTCCGATCCTGAGCTTTCCTCCTAGCCTTTGGAGTTGGACAACCCTTTTTCCTAACATTGTCCTATGTTGATAATTTGAAAAGCCTGACAGGAGATATATTTAAGTGGTCCTTTTAGAAGTAATAGTGCAGTTACTCCTCTAATGATGAACATGACAGATGCTTCACTTAGTGCAGTGGTTATCAAACTTTTTCTGTCAGGCCCCCCTTTGGAGGAAAAAAAAAGTCACGTAATGGGCCAAGTTTACATTTATTAAAAATACATCAATATGAACGCGAGCATTCCTTTCAAATACTTGCTAGAACAGTGATAATAAAACAATGCTCCATAAGTCTGTGTGCTAAAAAAAAAAAAATACATAAAACAATTGTGCAATCCCTTTGCTTGAACAATAAGTTATACTTTGCCACTTTGCAAAGAAATGAAAAGAAAGAAAATGCTGATATTTGGCAAAAAAGTGTGTCTTATCACATTAGTGGCTGCAATGAGCTTGTTTTGCACTGCACATTTCTTCAAAACGGGGTTGCAGGCTCAGTGGCGGCGCCAGAGATTTTCTTTTGGGGGTGCTGTGGGGTAGCTTGACGTTTCATAGAGGGTGCTCAAACATGGAAAGGAGTGTTTAGATAGTTAACTTTAGTCTAAGTTATCTCAGTGGGTCTCAAACGGTTTGGTCACTCACGAATTATGTAAAAGGCACACCTTCATATGATCATTATAGTTATAAAACAATAAGAGAATACATGAAAAACAGGTATGAAATACTATATGACAGTAAAACAAGAATACAGTTTAAAAGGAGAGTGATTTGTAAAATATCCATAAAGAAAAAGTAAATATGTTTACAGTTCTGTTTCAAATGGGTGTTGAGAGATGTATCCATAGATCTCTTAATTTTGCTCTCAAAGTGCACCAGATTGATGCTTTTAACTTCAATATTTAAAACAAATCTTCCCGGGGATTTTTTTTAAATCACTCTCCTTTTAAACTGTATTCTTGTTTTACTGTCATAGTATTTCATACCTGTTTTTCATTTATTCTATTATTTTTTTATACCTATAGGCTAATGATCATATGAAGGTGTGCCTCGGAAATAATTGTTTACATTAATTGTGACCAAACCGTTTGAGACCCACTGAGATAACGTAGACTAAAGTTAGGACTCTCCTCCACCTTGTTGTTGAAAAAGCTCCTTATATCCGTTAGCGTAGCTCACTAGCACCAGAAGCTAACAACAACGATCTCCGGTACCGGTGCGCTCTCTCTCTCTCTCTCTCGCTCTCGCTCGCTCTCGCTCTCGCTCGCTCTCGCTCGCTCTCTCTCTCGTTCGTGCACGCACACAAAATGGCTCGTTCCACACACACACAGAGACGAGCTTGAATGAAACACAGAGACCCAGACGTACTTGTACTGTAGCATATTATTTTCGAGTACATTTTTTTGAAATTATGATTTTTTTTTTGTCATTACAATTTTTCCTCCTGGTCTCTTGAGAAACACTGACTTCGTGTTTGCTTCCTACAGTCTCTCCTAACCTTCCTGTCATTGCTTTGTGCTGATTTGCACACGTAACAGGGTTTTTATTGTTGTTCTTCTCTTCCAGGAACACGGTGGCCTTCTCCGAATCTTCCCAGAAGGGAAGGCCCAGTTTGCCGATATCGAGCCCAGATTTGACCGCCTGCTCCTGTTCTGGTCCGACAGACGGAACCCTCACGAGGTTCAGCCCGCCTTCGCCACCAGGTCAGCATCCAGTCTGCACACTGCACACGATCAGATCATCTGGCCTGATGTGCTGTGACCCATTGCTCTAATTGTCTCCGCAGGTATGCCATCACGGTGTGGTATTTTGACGCAGATGAGCGAGCCAGAGCTAAAGAGAAGTACCTAACGGGTAGGTTCATGTGTACAAAACAGGGATGTCTCAATACCAGACGAGTCGATACCAATACCAGTACAATTCAAAAAGTATCTATATCAATTGGATATCCCAGTAAAAAAATTAAATAACAGAATATCTCATGTACTTCTAAATACACTCCTTTTTTGATTGTTTACATACTGGTTCCTGTTAGCAAGCTGAAAGGTTATAAAACCCTCTCTAATAAACCTTTTTTTTTTATTTCTGTGAATGTTTCTTTTTCCAAATGACTTGACAAGACCTGTGATTTACAAGACTAAGATGTAACACTATGATACTTTTATAACTTAGCACATTTCTTTTTTTACTGAATAAAGTGTGAATGGACCATAATGCAACTCTATGAAACCTCACCTGCTGCTAACGGCTAAGGTTAGCTAGCTTTCCTCCTGCCCATTTCAACACAGATTAGTTGTACACACAGTAGCATTATCAGGGGGGAAAAGTGTGTCAATGGTGAGTTCACTGCCCGGGATGATGGTACTAAGGATTTTTACTGTAACATCACTTTTTATATCATTGGCATCAATTTGGTAGCTAAATATCTGTTCTTGTGACCTCCCTAGTCTAAACTACACAACCCTGTTTCTATTTTTATTTTATTTGTATATAACGTCTCATATTTGTGTGTTTCCTCTGTGCAGGTGCAGGAGAGAAAGGAGTAAAGGTTGAACTTGGCAAACCCTCAGACCCCAGCTAATGGGAAGCCTGCATACCAACAGCCGTTAAGTGCTCTGTTCGAAGAAAGTGGCCTATAGAGAGCATGTGTGTGTGTTTTACATGGCAACAGCAGACTTTTTGCCCGAGAGTGTGGAAGAACCATTTTTATGGAGACAAAACAAACAAAAACAGTGATTTCTGCTTGTTTTCAGCAAACCGGGGCAGCCCAGAGGACCTTGAATGTCATGACATCGTACTGAAAGGGATTGTGTGTTTTTGTTTTTATTTCCCTTTCACCTCTTCGTTGGAGAGAGCGCTTACGTTACAGCTGACATTTTCATAAAATCAACGGGGGTTAAGCTCCCAGAGAATCTACACCTTTTGCATATTGGTTTTTACAGTTAATTCCTAAAGGTACAGTGTTCTGCATATTATCGTGGTATGCTTTTCACATGGAATCAGCTGTTATGAGCTACAGTATTGCAAAGTTGTACTTGAGGCTGCAATAATATGAGGAATGATCTGAATTAAAAACACGCTTTTTCTGACTGAAATTGTTTGGTCTGAGTTCAAATTCAATCATTTCACAAAAGAGGTTAAGTGTGATTTTTGTTTTGGCTACTCTCGTAATAACAAATCTTTTGAGTAAGCACAGATTTAAGGAGCAGCATTCACCTGCCTCATGTTGTCCTGTTTGCACTATATGCAGTTACATGCTGCCTCCTGCAGGCCTACAGTGAATTGCTGATTACTGATTTTCTGGACCCCAGCATAAATAAGATTATTCACACTGAGAAGTGAGAAATAAGACTTCAGCATAAAATCAATTCAAGTGTCTTAATCCCCAAGTATTACCTTCCAGGTTGTTTTCACTGCTTTAAAGAATATAGCATGTAACAAAGTCTTTTCCATGACAACCTCAAACGTTAAGGCCCTATTATGCTCATTTTCATATTTGTATTTTGGGCTTGTTCTGTGAAATGTTTCTGTGCTTTAATGTAAACATAAACATACATTTTGTTGGAGCGCTAGCCAATAGTAGCGCCGCTGTTGCGTAGGGATGTCACTGTTACAGAAGTAAACAAAGGACTACAATGGAGGTGTTTCAGGCAGGGGGGAGTGTGTGGGACTTTGGCAATTTGTTTGCCTTTGCAAACTATTGACATGCACAAAAATCTACCTGACACACTACAGGAAAGCGAAACACCCTAAATATTAGGATCCCTTTATACAAGTACACAGTGAGAACGTTCCGATATTGTAAATGGGCAATAGATTCTTTTTTTTATTTGAAAGCATAATGGCTTTAAGTTTATGGCTAAATTATATATTTAGTGCTTTAATCTTTTTAAAAAGGCTCATCAATAAAATGGGGAGGAGTGCCAAACATATCAGGCCTGCTAGTCGTCTTCTGCACACAAATATAATAAATGTTACTTTCACTGATTGAGTATTAATGTAACTACAATGTTCTAGCTGTCCTTAATAACAGTCGGTGGTTTAAGGACAAATGCTGAAAAGCCCAAGAGCCTGTATGTTTGTTCTAACTACTCTGTCTTAATTATATAGATGATTTAACATTAAGTAGTGTTCATTCATAATTAAGCGTGGTGTGATCCATGATTCAGGTAACGTATGAAAACGAGCAGTGGTATCAAAGTATTGGTGTATTCTTCAAATTGAACCGCATCTTGCGCTACATTTTAACTGTCTTTAATATGAATTAAAACTATATAAACACATCTGTATGAAAAAAAATACAGTACATAAAATAGTAAGAAAGTACGTATTACAAAAGTCAGGAAATATATTAAGCAGTATTCAATACAAACTATACAATGAAAAGGATTAAATGCAGTCAACGCTAGCTCACATTGTGCAAAATTAGCGTCCCATCAGTGGACCTTTATATACTGGCAGAAAAGTCTGTTCGTTCTTCTTCTCTAGACAAAATAGAAGACTGAATGCATCGAGTAAACAGCGACTTTTGGCCCCATGCGCCTCTTCAACAAGAGAGACTGTGCAAAAATATACAAAGCCACAGGCCAGCAGGAGTCGCTGGGACCTCCGGTCAGTAATGGCTGAGCTCCTCAGGAGGAGGTAGGGGGGGATAAGTGTCGTCTCCTCCGATGTAGGCGCCAATGCCGCTGCTGCTCTGGCTCCCCCACTCGTAACTGTCAGCAGCCAAACTACAGAATCCAATCAACAAACAACAGTGTCATTTGACCTCTACCCTTTGCTACAATTCTACTTCCTGTATTATTTTGATGGTAACATCGTGGTGCTTTTACCTGGCTTGGATGTTCTGAGGCATTACGCTCCACGCCAGGTCCTCGTCGCTGTCATAACGCCGGGGGTTGTCGAAGAAATAAGCCCTGGAGGAGAAGCCATGACCGGGAAGCCCGGAGCAACTCTGCAAGACAAGCCGCAGGCAAATAATATAAATGTAAGTAGTCTTACATTACTTAAACTTTGGACTGTACATCACATCGTTTCTAACCTCATGGCAAAAATGTTTATGTTTTTTATTATCTTTCATATTTGTACTAGACAAAAACAGAAACAGACATTCCGTGTAGTTGAACAACAGCGTGTTTTATCTGCTTTCCTATATATTATCTTATGTCCCCTCAGATTTATCTTGTGACCCCTGACCCTCATGTTGTAAACTGCTGACTTATGGCGCATTTCCACTGCAGGGCAAAGTGTATTTGCTTGACTCACCCTGTCTAGGTCAGGCTGCCGAACTCTGAAGAAGAAAACCAAGAGAGTAGTGGGCAGCAGCTCCCATACAAACAAGATCACCCCAAAGACGATGTAGCCAGTGTCGCCCAGAGTCGACTGTAAGTCTGCCTGTGGAACAAAAACACATCCACTATTCAAACAGCCAACTCTTTTACCCTCACATGGAGAATTACTGTATAGCTTGATTGCAACCATCACAAGGAAAACACAGATTAAACACATTTTTTTCAGCTTTCTGCGATAACAGCCAAATAAATATTAGTCAACCAATGCTCTCGGAAAAGCATTTTCTTTTTACATTAACTCATACATCTAAAGGCATTTGACCTCTGGTGGTTCACCTGGTCTGAAACGTTGTACCAGTCGTAGTCAAAAGAGCTAATGCTCTTGCTTGAGAGTCCCAGGACGACCAGATTGTAGCAGGCCCTGGACGAGTACAGGAGGATGACGATGGCTCCTATGACCGTCACCTGGCACACCGACGTCCCCTGTGAGGTTTGAAGAGTTTCATCAAGGGAACATTGGTTTAATCTTACAGAAACTACATGGTAACTGAGGGTAAAGATAGCTGCAATACATTTAGAATATTAAGGTGTGACCTTTTATTTTGACGTGAAGTAAAACCAGTCTTGCATAACACTGTGTTGCTAGGAAACTATGACTGTGTACAAAGCAGGATTAGGTAAAGAAGTGCATCTTCACTCAAGTGTGCTATTATTAGCTGTGGACAATACATTGTAATGCCACTTACACAAATCACTTTCTGTTGATCCCAGAGGGTTAATCTACTAATGATATCTTCCTTTTCACACATGTCTCTCCCTTGAGTAGTATGTCTTACTTTTGACTCCAAGTATATGTTGGCCAGGGACATCTTAGCGAGCTTGTAAAGACACAAGGAGAGCGACACGGCACACAGGACAAACAGTGTGTCGTTGATGGTGACCCTCACAAGCACGAGGGTGTGGGCTTCTGCAGAGGACATCCTCACCAGCAGGGCACACACCAAATTCACTACTAAGAACACAAGGCTGATGAACAGGAAGAGCAGGTACAGCGGCAGCCTGTGGGTCAGGGGACATGTTTTTAGTACTGTAGCCAAGTTAGTAATATAATTAAAAGGGCAAATTAAGTGTTGTAAATGCATGTACCTGTATCTCAAAAGTTCTGGTGCATATTTTGACTTTGCCTTGAAAACAACCTGTGAAAACAAAAATCCTTTCAGTTTCATTATGCAAAATGTGTCATGTTATTTAGGCCACTCATTTTCACTTCTGTATTCTCACATTTTAAAGAAACACATTCTTCTGAAACAGGAAGTTGTTTTGGATATACAATAGTCTCACAGCACACAGGAACATTTACTGTAATACTTATGAGTTGCTCAATCTCAACTCACAACTGGGACTCAAATCAGAAACAAATGATTAGGCTTGAAATAAACTTAGAGGGCAGAGGAGTAACTATTTTATATTTGTATCAAGTATGCAGATGAAGGAACTATTTGCTGCTTAGCTAATCAAAATGAGTATCTTTTACATCAATAGGCAATATTATGTTGACAGTGATAATAGGGTTCTAGCCATATTTCACATCAGTGATTATTAATATTGTCATTAAATGTATTCAAAGCAGCAGGTAGGGAGATAAATTAGTGTTGCTATCTATCATATCATATTATGGATTTGATGAACTCTTTAAATGCTAAACTCTCTTATTCAACGAGAAAGTGTAATTAAAGAGTTATTTAACTAGTTGTTAAAGTTTAGTTTCACAGATTAAAAGTTAAAGGTCTTGTTTTACAGATCTCATTGAGATCAGACAGCGTGGGACCAAACCATTTCTTGATCATATAATGATATTTCATGAAGTTATTCAAAGTATATATACAAAAACCATGTTGTATTTTGGTTTCAGGCAATAATTCACATGATGGTAGGTTATGTTTAAAGATCCCCTAAAGACAGGATGGCAGATACATTACTCTGGAATAATAATTTAAAAAAATAGTAGATGTATCTTTAATTTCATTTACTTTTGTGGCTTTGTTGAAAAATCTAAAACCATGAATATGTATTGTTAAACATGTTTAAGTTGAATTGCTGCCATTGTAAGGTGCAGTGGATGTTTCCAAATAGATGTTTAAGTTAAAGAAACCTCTAGTGTCAAACTCAGTACATACATCAATCTGCAGCACCAACATGCATGTGAGGAAACACACATACAAAGGGTTTGAGTTGAGGGGGACTTTCAATCGAACTCTTTTCTGCCATGACAGAGAACGTGCAGACTGCTGTCACTAGCTGCTGTCTCTAGCTGCTGATTAACTCACCTGTGCGAAGTAAAGGTTCATGAGGCAGAGGGTGAAGAACTGGAGGCAGACAGGGAAGCAGTACAGCAGCCAGAAGGGAAAGGGCCCCAAAGTGTTAGCTGTGACAAAGTTTTTGAAGTAGAAGGAGAAGAGGACGGTGCGCAGGGCCGACCACAGCAGGCACAGCGACAGGAACACGGTCTGGTAGCTGAAGCGCTTGTGTCGGTACCGCAGGACCAGCCAGAGCTGCACGTAGATGAAGATGAAGAGGAGGGAGTAGAAGACGGTGTACACCACCGTCAGGCCCAAAGTGACGAAGGGGGGGACTGCCGGGCTCAAGGTAGGCAGAGGCTGCGACTTGTCCATCGGTGACTGCAGCTCCTTCTCCTCCGCCTGGGCCTCCATGAACCTGCTATCCCTGGCCTGGGGAGGAGGGAGCGGAGCGGCGTGGAGGGGGACTCAGCCGGGGTTAACCGCCGGGTGTCTGTCGTCACAGAG